TCGAGTGAAGGTTTACAAGAAGAAAGTAGTTCGAGTGAAGGTTTACAAGAAGAAAGTAGTCAGAGTGAAGGTTTACAAGAAGAAAGTAGTCAGAGTGAAGGTTTACAAGAAGAAAGTAGTTCGAGTGAAGGTTTACAAGAAGAAAGTAGTTCGAGTGAAGGTTTACAAGAAGAAAGTAGTTCGAGTGAAGGTTTACTAGAAGAAAGTAGTTCGAGTGAAGGTTTACAAGAAGAAAGTAGTTCGAGTGAAGGTTTACAAGAAGAAAGTAGTCAGAGTGAAGGTTTACAAGAAGAAAGTAGTCAGAGTGAAGATTTACAAGGAGAAAGTAGTTCGAGTGATGGTTTACAAGAAGAAAGTAGTTCGAGTGAAGGTTTACAAGGAGAAAGTAGTTTGAGTGAAGGTTTACAAGAAGAAAGTAGTCAGAGTGAAGGTTTACAAGGAGAAAGTAGTTCGAGTGATGGTTTACAAGAAGAAAGTAGTCAGAGTGAAGGTTTACAAGAAGAAAGTAGTTCGAGTGATGGTTTACAAGGAGAAAGTAGTCAGAGTGAAGGTTTACAAGAAGAAAGTAGTCAGAGTGAAGGTTTACAAGAAGAAAGTAGTTCGAGTGAAGGTTTACAAGAAGAAAGTAGTTCGAGTGAAGGTTTACAAGGAGAAAGTAGTTTGAGTGAAGGTTTACAAGAAGAAAGTAGTCAGAGTGAAGGTTTACAAGGAGAAAGTAGTTCGAGTGATGGTTACAAGAAGAAAGTAGTCAGAGTGAAGGTTTACAAGAAGAAAGTAGTTCGAGTGATGGTTTACAAGGAGAAAGTAGTCAGAGTGAAGGTTTACAAGAAGAAAGTAGTTCGAGTGAAGGTTTACTAGAAGAAAGTAGTTCGAGTGAAGGTTTACTAGAAGAAAGTAGTCAGAGTGAAGGTTTACAAGAAGAAAGTAGTTCGAGTGATGGTTTACAAGGAGAAAGTAGTTCGAGTGATGGTTTACAAGGAGAAAGTAGTTCGAGTGATGGTTTACAAGGAGAAAGTAGTCAGAGTGAAGGTTTACAAGAAGAAAGTAGTTCGAGTGAAGGTTTACAAGAAGAAAGTAGTTCGAGTGAAGGTTTACAAGGAGAAAGTAGTTCGAGTGATGGTTTACAAGAAGAAAGTAGTCAGAGTGAAGGTTTACAAGAAGAAAGTAGTTCGAGTGATGGTTTACAAGGAGAAAGTAGTCAGAGTGAAGGTTTACAAGAAGAAAGTAGTTCGAGTGAAGGTTTACAAGAAGAAAGTAGTTCGAGTGAAGGTTTACTAGAAGAAAGTAGTCAGAGTGAAGGTTTACAAGAAGAAAGTAGTTCGAGTGAAGGTTTACAAGGACAAAGTAGTTCGAGTGAAGGTTTACAAGAAGAAAGTAGTTCGAGTGAAGGTTTACTAGAAGAAAGTAGTTCGAGTGAAGGTTACAAGAAGAAAGTAGT